CCGCCACCTTAGGTGTATGTGGCTGGCACCTTAGCCGCTTGAGCCACAGGCGCCGAGCCATGACAGCCCATTTTACAGATGAGAAAATTAAAAATAAGAGGAACTTGTTGACAGATGGAAGGAAGGGGCTGGACCTCAGGTGCCATGCTAATTCTATTCCACACCAGGGCCTGAGCTTATATCCACTGCACCATGCTACTCCATGGGGGACCAATTAGAAGGAAGGAGTGAGAGTCAGATGCAGGCAGCTCCATCCCCTGTGGAAAGTGGAGGCTCCCAGTGTACTGCACACATATCCAGATATTCGCACCCTGACAAGGGGCAGTGCCAGCCCACTTGGCCCAGCTTCCACTGGCTTCCTCTTCATTTGTCTGACCCTCTCCTCTTGCCCCACTACATCCTTCCTTCTCCCTTTCAGTATCTTTTTTTTTGGAGACAGAGCCTCAAGCTGTCACACTTGGTAGGGTCCTATGGTATCAGAGCTCACAGCAACCTCCAACTCCTGGGTTCAATTGATTCTCTTGCCTCCGCCTCCCAAGTAGCTGTAACTACAGGTGCCTACCACAATGCCCAGTTATTTATTTATTTATTTATTTTGGCTGCAGCTGTCATTGTTGTTTGGCGGGCCCAGGCTGAATTCGAACCTGCCAGCTTAGGTGTATGTGGCTGGCACTTTAGCCACTTGAGCCATAGGCACTGAGCCCCCTTTCAGTATCTTAATAATGTCCTTGTCCATTATCCAACAACCGCAAGTATAGGGGTAAAAGAAAAGGGACACTATGGTTAAGCTCAAAGACAAATCCCGATTCTGCCACTTACCAACTGTATGACCTTAGAAGAATTCCTCACAATCCCCACCCCCACCCCCAGGCTCATCATTCATAAAACCAGGATGATGGGCCAGGCATGGTGGCGCATGCCTGTAATCCTAGCACTCTGGGAGGCTGAGGCAGGTGGATTGCCCTGTGCGCACAGGATTGAGACCAGCCTGAGCCAGAGTGAGGCCCTATCTCTAAAAGTAGTCAGACCCTCCCAGCTACTTGGGAGGCTGAGGCAAGAGAATCACTTGAGCCCAAGAATTTGAGGTTGCTGTGAGCTATGATGCCACAGCATTCTACCAAGGGGAACAGAGTGAGACTATCTCAAAAAAAAAAAAGATGATGCAGGGCGCAGTGCCTCAGGCCTGTAATCCTAGACTCTGGGAGGCTAAGGCAGGTGGACTGCTAGAGCTCACGAGTTTGAGACCAGCCTGAGCAAGAGCAAGACCTCCATCTAAAAATAGCCAGGCGTTGTGGCAGGTACCCGTAGTCTCAGCTACTCAGGAGGCCGAGGCAAGAGAATCATTTGAGCCCAAGAGTTTGAGGTTGCTGTGAGCTACACAGCACTCTACTGAGGGTGACAAAGTGAGACACTGTCTTAAAAAAAAAAAGGGTGGCACCTGTGGCTCAAGGAGTAGGGCGCTAGCCCCATATACCGGAGGTGATAGGTTCAAATCTGATCCCAGTCAAAAAAAAAAAAAAGGATGAAAATTCCTACCTCACTCAGTTTTCATGAAAATTAGAACTTTCAGTACTGTAGGTGCCCAATGTGGCAGCAAGTAAAACATGATGGGAATGAATCTTTGCTCTCATTATATAGATGAGGTAAATGAATCCTAATTAGTTACAAGGATGGTTACCATTAGATCTAAAGGGCCATCTAGTATCAGCTTCTTTGCTAATGCTTCAGGTCAAGTGTCTTCTTCAAACAGTATAAGGTAAAAACAGCAGATGAGAACACCAAAGCTCAGAGAATTCAGTCCCTTACTCCAGATCTCTAGCTTCCCCGTGGCTGAGCCTAGGCTGTCTGACTCCATGGTCTGTGCCCTTAAACACTGACCCACACAGCCTCCCCCCCAGGCTGGAAGGGAGTTATGATCTGTGCCAGGTCCCATGGGACTCCCACACATCTCCTGCAGGCTCACCTGGGGCCATTTCGTTACCAAAGATAAGGGCGCGTGCCCGGGAAGTGGTGACACAGTGGAGCAGGGCATCCCGCCGGAGATTGGTGTTGATAAGTGCTGCCTCCACGCCCAGCTTGGCCATGCCCAGCCACAGGCCCACAAACTCATTTCGGTTCTCCATGAAGAGGGCGGCCACATCACCTGAGGCCAGGCCACGCGCCTGAAGGAAGTTGGCCACACTGCTCGAGTACTCATCCAACTGGCGGAAGGTCCAGTGGGTGTCTGTGCCCTCGAAGATCAGGGCCGTCTTGTCAGGGTGACGCTGAACCGTAGAAGCAAACAAAGTGGGCACCGTCTGCCGCTCCCGCAGGTACCGTCGCACCTTTGCCTTCACCTTCAGGAGCACCAGGCCACCACTGTGTGGGAGCGAGCAGGGAAGTGTGACTGATCCCACTGCTGGGGGTGGGATTGAGGGGTCCTAAGCCTCACCAGCCAGGCTCCCTACAACACTTCTATTTTCTTTTTTTTTTTTTTTTTGAGACAGAGCCTCAAGCTGTCCCCCTGGATAGAGTCCCGTGGCATTACAGCTCACAGCAACCTCCAACTCCTGGGCTCAAGCGAGTCTCCTGCCTCTGCCTCCCAAGTAGCTGGGACCACAGGCGCCCGCCACAATGCCCGGCTATTTTTTGGTTGCAGCTGTCATTGTTGTTTTGGCAGGTGCGGTCTGGGGCTCCGAACCCGCCACCTTAGGTGTACGTGGCAGGCGCCTTAGCCAGTTGAGCTATAGGCGCCGAGCCAACACTTCTATTTTCTAGTTCCTCCAGGGCACTTGGCACCCTAATATGCCCCACCTCACAGAGACACTAAAATAGTGTGATTCCTTGCTTTCCTTACAAAGGAGGACACTACAGATGTCATAGTGCCATGGCTTGCCCAGAGCTTCACAGCTAAAAGGTGGCTGAACGGAGATTTGAAATCCAGGCCTTTCCAGCTCCAGAGTTCGACTTTTACAATCCCTTCCGCGTGCTGCTCTGGCAGAGCCTTCCGAGGCTCCATAACCCCACAGCCCCACATCAAAGTCCAAATTCCTTGTTTGGAGCCTCCCACAGGCCATATGTATCACCCCAACCATCGCCACATTAAATATAGTGTAAGTTTGCTGATTTGTCTAGTCTTTCTCCCTCTGAGCCAGGGTGGGCCTTTGTCTTCGTCACCACCTTGGTCCTGTGCCAGGCACAGAGTAGATACTCAGTAAGTGCCTGTGGAATCACTTGGCAACATCTCCTTGCTTGCCCCACATCTGCCACCTTTTGAAGCCTTGAACTCTGTGAGCTCCCAGATTCTGTGCCACTGATGATGCCATGCCGTCTCAGTGGACTTCTCTCCTCCTACCACCTACAAGGTACCTCTCAATTACAAATACTTTTCATCCAGGAAGCCTTCTCTGACTCCCTAAGGCCCTGGCCAGAGGTCACCTCTCTTTGCTCCATGCTCCCACAGCCTTTGTTTTTACCTGGGCTGCCACTGACATCTCCTTTGCAATCAACTCAGATTGACAAATACTGAGCTACCTGTTCTGAGTGTAGGTCACCATCCTGAGCACTGGGACATAGTAATGAGCAAGGCTGCCAGGGTCTCTATCTGCATAGCACTGCCAGAGAGGAGATTTACTGTGTCCCCTTCTTTGTCCCCAGCTAGTCTAAGCTTGGCATACTGTTCCTCTCTGGGCCCCAGAACCAGCCTGGCACTTGTATAGATCAGGTGGGAGCAGATGTTTCTGGTATAGGACATCCCTGTGGAGAATATTTGGCTTTCTTTGGGGAACAATTTTCTCAGACATCTGACTAGGGACCCTGCTCTGTAACTCAGTGACCTTTGTCCCCCTCAGACGTGTGCCAACCTGAAGACAGGGCCTCACAGGTTCGTCTTCACCCTCTCATTTTTTTTTTTTT